TGTAAGTTATATCATTAAAAATTTTTATATTGATTGTGTGTTGAAATGATAATAATTTGAGGTATATTAGGTTAAATGAAATATAAAAATTTTACTAATTTACTATTTAAATTGTGGCTACTAGAAATTACGGAATTATACATGTGGCTTATATTACATTTCTATGGACAGAATGGGTTTTTTGATTGATTGAACTATTTAAAAATGTATGTTTCTGAGTTCCCATTTCTTCTGGATGCACATCAAATTCTAGAAAACTTAAAGAAGTCTTGCTTGGGAAAAAATATTACCGCATTTTCCATTCAAGGATCTTTTTTTAAAAAAAGGTAAAAATTGCATGTCATGTAAGTGTTGAAGAGAGTGTGAGGAGAAAGAACAGCAATGTTCCTTAAACTAGAATTTCATTTTCTTCTACTTTGAGTGAAGCTGGAGTGTCAGTCTTTAGTTTTTAGAGCAGTAGAACATTTCCAGATTGCAGACACATGAAAATAGATGCTTCCCAAAGTGAAGAGCAGCCCTCCTCCCCTGCCACGCACACACATGCAACATTTCTTCTCCATGTGAGTGCCAAGTATTTGGAAAGCACCTAAATGCTCAGTTCATGAGCTCCAGGAGGCACATGTTCAATAACCACTTCCTGCTGTGCATTAACTGCTGGGTCAAATAAAGAACAGTAGACAGAGACAGGGTATCAAAATATGCCCCAGGACTGATGATCTGGGCAGAAAGGGCAGCACAGGGAAGATTCAGAGCCACATGAGAGCAGAGTGGAAGGAGGGTATGTTGTTTGGGGACACTGAGCCAACATCTGTCTGCAGGGATCAAGTAAGGCCTTGCCTATCAGGAAGGAGATCTAGGACCTGACATGAAAGAAGATGGGCTGAGTGATCTAACGGAAGCCATGTTTTAGGGGACTCATCCTCTCTTCCCTGTCATGCTATATGTGTCCGGCAACTGGAGGACCTGATTAGAATCCAGTGCTACCCAGGGGCACCTGGGATCGAGCTCAGCAGGGAGTCTGCCTCTCCCTCTGCCCTTCCCCCTGCTTATGCTTTATCTCTCTCTCAGATAAATGAATAAAATCTTAAACAAACAAACAAAAAGAATCCAGTGCTACCTCACATCATTTCCTTACTGTCTCCGGTGCATGTTTTTTGCTTCCCCCAGGGAGAATGATACAGTCAAAGGCAAGAGCCAAGGTTGATGTTTCTTTTGAATATCTCATGATTTCCAGGACAGTTGTAGGCACAGAGTAGGTAACTCAATGCTTACTTTAAAAATAATAATAATGATGAATTAAATTGTGCTAAATCCCTGTGTCCTCTTCTTTCATATATTTCATGAGGGAAAATGGAGAATCCTAATTCCTAATTAGGGTTCTTCAGGGGCAAAAGTATAGATCAATTTGCCTTCTATTTCCTGTCCCCTTTCTGTGTTTATCTCCTTTCTTCCCAGCATCTTCCTGGGTTCTTACCACCATCATTTTGTCACTGAAACTTTCTCCTAGCCTTTGACTTACGCATCTGGACGGAACCCAAATTTCCCCCTTCCTCCTTTCATCACTCATTAGCTTAGGTTCTTGGGGAGAGTATGATGTCCCTTCTACCCAGACAGTCCCTGGCTTGGACTAGAAATGATGATCTGCTTTAACCATTTAGCCCTCCCTGATGCAGCTCTGTAACTTACCTGAAGATTGTTCTGATCAGTTCACATGGACAGAGAAATAAGAAAGTCATTTATTGAAGTGTAGAAGGAGCTGTGAGTTACTATAGAGTGACAAAAACATTTTTGTTTTGTTTTTGTTTTTTAAAGATTTTATTAATTTATTTGACAGTGAGAGAGAGCACAAACGGGGGAGCAGCAGAGGGAGAGGGAGAAGCAGGCTCCTTGCAGAGCAGGGAGCCCGACGCGGAACTCTATCCCAGGACCCTGGGACCATGACCTGAGCCAAAGGCAGGCGCGTAACTGACTGAGCCACCCAGGTGCCACTGTTTTGCTTTGTTTTTAACTGTATGGTGACTAAGAAATAATTTATACCCGACTGTGACTTTAGGAAAGGGTAGACTGAGTTTGGTTAGAACTATAGGCTTTCCTTGCCCAGAAAAGAAATATAACTCTGTAGATCCCAAGGAAATTAACAAAGCCTGAATTTTCTCTCTCCTTTTTTTAAAAAAAAAAATTCACTTTTGTTGTCCTGACTTTAAACTAATCATTACAAAGTTACTTCAAGAAGAAACAAAGAATAACTTTCTCTTCCCTGGATTATTCTTTGGTTAACTTTTTAGAGCTTTTAGCCACCTGAGAAAACCAATCCAATACTGAAAAATGTTGCCAAAAGCCACTCAAAGACCTCACCTACCCTAATACTTTAAGGATCCTGAGTCCCCGAACAAGGCTCTTTATAAATTGAGAGTTAATATCAGAGGCAGACAAACTGCAACAGATAAAAGGGAAATGTGGTTTGTAAAGGCTGGGTAAATGTCTACGTCTCTTTTCATTTTTTTCCATCTATTGCATAGGAGCCTGGCTACTTTTTTTTGCTATCTTCATTTTTGTTTAACAGAGAAAAGCTCAAGTGTTAGGTTCTAAGGTAAGTCCCTGCTTTTTTCCAGTGACTCTAGACTGGACTAAGATTAACCTTTCACCCCGTGTAACCTAAACTGCAGGCACATGGTATTAAATTATCTGCCTTGGTAAGACTGTCCTTGCAAGGCTACACCACAAAGTAGCCATGCTCCACACTCACCCCTCCTTTGTAGCAAGGCTGGGGGTTGGATGTCATTGCAGGTTTCTAGTCCCAGCATTAACTCCACCCCACTCACCCCTCTCAAGAAAGAGTATCTTGTGTTTCTCAAACCAAACAACCCCCACCAATTCTGACCTTTCTCCACAGGGAGTGAATGCCACCTCCAGCATCCCCTGACTCCCAAGAATCACCATTTTGAATTAATGAGCAATCCCAACCTTAAGGATTCTTGCAGGTAAAAGGGATGCTTGGAGAGAGAACCAGTAGGATGAGGCTCCCATGGCAGAGATTAAGTGAAACAAGGAAACATCCCTTCATTCTTACCTTCTAAGACTGTTGGCTATTTTCCTCCCCAGTGAACATTCTTCTCTATAAGATGACACCTATGTAAGTATTCTGGTCACAAGTTAGCTATTCACTTAACAGTTTGTCTGTGTGTTGTGTAATTACTACTGGGTGGAACCGTGCATAAAGTAGATGAATGTGTGTGTGTGCACAAGGGTATTAAAAAGGGGGGGGAGGGGGAGCATGTGTTGAAAGAAGAGAACTCGGGGGGCGCCTGGGTGGCTCAGTTGGTTAAGCGACTGCCTTCGGCTCAGGTCATGATCCTGGAGTTCCTGGATCGAGTCCCACATCGGGCTCCCTGCTCAGCAGAGGGTCTGCTTCTCCCTCTGACCCTCCCCCCTCTCATGTACTCTCTCTCATTCTCGCTCTCTCAAATAAATAAATAAAATCTTTAAAAAAAAAAAAAAGAAGAGAACTCGGTTCTAAAATAAGACTGATATGCTTTAAAAACAAACTTTTAATTTGGGGACAACTGTAGATGCACATTAAGTTTTAAGAAATAGTACAGAGAGATCCCTTATAGACCTTTTACCCCATGGTAATATTTTGAATAACTGTAGTATAATATCACAACCAGGAAACAGACATTAATACAGTCCTAGGGCCTTATTCACATGTCACCACTTTTGTGTGTACTCATCTGTGTACTTAGTTTGGTGCAATTTTGTCACGTATGTAATCTGCTTTTGAATCTCAGCTGTGCTAGGTACTAGCTGTGTGACCCTGAACAAGCTCCCTAGCTTCTCTGAGGCCCAGTTTCCTCATCTGCAAAATGGGTATAATGTCTGTCTCCTAAAGGTGGTGCGAGGATTAGGTAAAATCATTTCTGCTAATTTTGCAGCACACTGGATTCTCAATAGATGCTAGTTTCCTTCCTATCACTTGTTCTTTCAGTAGCGAGGGAATATGCTCCAGTTTCTTGCTGAAATAACCAGACTTGTGGGTTACAATAAATCAGGCAGCTCCTCTTCAAGGCCAACACATTTAACCCTGCAGTTCAAAGAAAACACAGTGGATGTCACCTGCCCACAGCTGCTGCCTGTAGGCCTGGACTTGGGATCCTGTTTGTATCCAGATCAGAAGTGTAGAGATGGGGGGGGGGGGCCGAGTGAAAAAGGAGAGACTCGGGGGAAGCTGTGGAGTAGGGGTAGGAGGTGGTAGAAGGTGGTAAATACTGAACAATCGTTGGCTGGAGAGCTACCAATTCCAAGGATTTTCCATCCGGTGTGCCTAGAGACCGCGGGTTGGATGTACCCGCGGAAAGCTGATAGCGGGTGGGAGCCTTTGAGGACATGGTGGGCAGGTGCGGAGGCCAGTCTAGACCTGGTAGGAGGATCACACTCCTTCCAGAGTTCAGTCTAGAGCTCTTTTGTCTACTGCAGCCCCCTTCCAATGACAGCCAAGGAGCGCTCAAGGGGGAAGAAATCCAGGATCGCCTGGGAGGCACCTGAATCCCCAGCTTAAGGTCCGCTGGCTGGAGGCAGAGGCCTTTCCTCCCGGGTGTCCTAGACGAAGCCGAGGGTGAGCGGGCGGGTTTGGAAGGAGAGGCTAGAGGACAGGGGGGTCGAGGGGTGAACGCACTAGCCCCTGCTTGGTGGCGACCTCGAGGCGCCGACCTCCTCTACCTGCGCCCCGCCAACCCTGGCGTTTCCAAGTTCAAATCTCCGAAGCGACCGCCCCAGCGTCGTGCAGCAGCCAAGCCGGGACCGCGCTCCGTGTTCCCGCGACCCGAGCAGTCCCCGGGAGCCGGGGCGCAGTCGGCGTCTGGGTGGGGGTCGGGGGGCGGACCCCGCGAGGGCCGGGACACCGCTCGGCGCTCCTCCCTCGGCTGCCCCCAGCGCCGCGGGCCGCGGAGGAGGAGCCGCGCCGGGGCCGGCGTCGCCCTGGCTCCTCCTCCCGCGCGGGCCAGGCCCTTCCTCCCCGGCGTCCAAAGCTCCGGGTGGCCGCGGCCGAGCCGGGAGCTGAGCGCGCTGGGCGCGGCCGTCCCGCTGCCGCCGCCTCCGAGCCCTGAGTGCGCCCGCGGCCATGGTCCCCGCGGCGGCGCCGGGCGCTTGAGCCCCGGAACGCGGTAAGCGAGGAGCCCGCTCCCGGGGACCCCCGCCCCGCGGCCTGGGGGTGCGCGGAGGCCTCGCGCCGCCCCCGCGCCGTCGGCAGGGCCCTGCGCGCCCAGGGCGGGCCCCGCACCGGGACCGGCTGGGGCTTCCCCTTCGGGGCCCGGGGCCAGGGCAGGAGCTGTCCCCGCGCGCGGGGCGCTCCCGGGGGACGAGGCGGGGAGGGGGCGGCCTCGCGGGCGGGAGGAGGGGCCGGCCGTGGCGGCGCGAGCTGCGCTGCCGGGGTGGGTGGGGGGCGGGCCGGCGGGCGGGGAGGATGCGCGCCGCAGCCCCGGAGAGCCGCGCTTTGTACGAGCTGGCTCCTTACATATGGAAATGACGCTCGCGCGGGTCCCCAGTCGCGTCCTTCTGAAGGACGCCCGCCCGGAACCGCGGCGCCGGCTGCGAAGTATTGTCCCGCTTCGTGAGCCCTAACAAAGCGTCCTCCTTCGCTTTGCAGGGCCCTGGAGGCAGGCGGCCGGCGGTGCGGGCGCAACGGAGAGGCCGCCAGAAGGTAGGCGAGGACGGCGGGGGCCGAGACGGCGTGCCGCCTGGTGACACAATGGGGTGTCTGAGGTTTCTGGCGGTGCGACGGGCAGGCGGGTCGGAGACGCACCTGCATCACAGGTTGCCGGGGACCGGGGCGGCGCGCCCGCCCTCCCGCCGCGCCTCCGCCTCCCCGCGCGGCCGCGCAGCGGGTCTGGGCGCCTCGGCCGCCCGTGCGGTCCCAGCCCGCGGCCGCCGGCTCAAAGCCGCTACTGTGTGCAGACCCAGGAGCGGACTTGAGTCCCGGAGGGAGCAGAAAGGGTGGTGGTTCTGTTGCCTTGTGCCACCCAGGCAGCCTTGTGATTGAGCAGCTGAGGAGAAACCTGTCTGGGGAAACCCGAGGTGATAAGCCTGGACTCTGAGCAGCGGAGAGCTGTTTGGGGCCCTGAAGGGGGGCGGGGGGCGGCATCTTAGAAGGCGTGTGGGAGAAGCGCATATAGAAAGACTTTGCCAGTGCAATGACTAAGAACTAAGGGGAAAAGGACCAAATGACATGCGGTTATTGCCTGAAAACCTTGATCGCCAGACCAGCGGAATGGGAGTGTGGAGTGCTGCGGGAGAAGCTTCCAGGGTTCCCAGGGCTGGGCTTCTGCGACTACCAAACCGGTCCCTGACAAAAGGACAAAGCTGATGGAAACACTTTACTGCGGAAAGCTCTGTCTGTGAAGTTGAGAGAGAGGGAAAGAAAGAGGCGTTTTCCTAACTCCAGCCCCGACAAACCCGGGTCGAGGTGCACGTACAATGGGGGGTGGAAAGATTGCCCTACCATGTACCTTGCTTCGACAACTTAGCTATTAAGAGATCCTGTGCCTTCTTAACAGGGACAGAGGAATTCCTGAGATGGACTTGCCATACAACTTAACTCTGAATTTATGAAATCAAAACAGATTGCCTAGTTGTCTTTTGTGACTGACATGGTAGCTAGAATCCCGATAAAGTCTATCCCAGCATATGGGCTGAGCTCCTGAGACCATGGAAGATTTCTCAGTGCGGCTCCCTTAAATACGTTGACAAAAATTTGTGCCTGCTTGTTTCCAGAGGCTTGACATTCTACAAGGAAATGTATTTTTCCTGTGTCAGCTTAATTTTATCTTGAATCTTCTGGTGGATGACCTGAAATATTGGCAGATCTTGCTCTGGAGTTGAGGGGCGGGTTGTGAAGATTTCCAGACTGTGTGTAAAAGTAACATCACAGGCTGGCTGAACAACCAGTTTGTTGTCTCTTCAGCTGTTGTCAGTGTTCTTAGGGAGGTGAAGTGAACTCCTGGGGAGTTCATTTGCAGGTTTATTTTCACCTGTTCTCTGGCGATTCCACAGGGGAAAGCATTCTGAACTGCAGTAGAGTTAAAGGGAAGGACTTACAGATGTTCCAAATGGGTTGGGCGTCAATAAAGATATTGCCAGGGCAGAAGGCTTTACGGGGCAAAGGAAAGGAAGCTATCAGAAGCACAGACTTCGCATTAAAATGTCAGGGATCAGTCATTTTAATAGGCATTTGCTCAGAATGACCTGGTGTCTGTCTTCGTCTTTTTTCATTTTCGGTATGTGATGACCCTTGATATCAAAAGATGTTAACTGTCACAGAGGGGGAGAATAGGGCCCCAGTGAATTCTGAACAGCCAACCTTAATTTAATAGGCAATATTCTTATCATAAGTCAGATGTTAAAATAAATTGTTTTAAATGTCACTGCAAATGACTTTCTAAACTAACATTACACCAATCTTGATGCTTCCATTTTATGTTGATAATGAAAATACATTTTATTAGTCTTACATTGATAAAGGGTTGACAAGTTAGCCGGATTCAAGCAGCCTAAAGCCTTTTCAGGAGGTTTATTTTTATAGATGCCAATTCATCTGTAAGCCAATAAATTAAGTGGTTTGAATTCTGGCTATTGAGCTTACATCTGTTGGGCAGGAGCTTGTGGAGAGACTGAGGCTTGCAAAAAGATGTTTTTATCTTATTTACAAATGGAATGGAATTTTATCAAGATTATGGGGAATATGCAAGTGAGCAACTTTTTTGAAATTTATATCAGCAGTTAATATTTGTTGCAGTTTATATCAGCAGTTAATCATTTATTCAAGTTTTGGATGGAACAGTTACAAAGTATTTATGTTCTAACGTTCACATAAAAAAGTTGGGAAAATATCGTTTATAGATGTGAGAAGAGAAGTTCTTCCCCAGGGGACTGTGCTCATAGATGCACGCATTCTGAATTAATTCCAGTAAATATGGCTCAAGAAGTGAAAGTTGTTATAAGCAGTCTCTTTTAAGAGAGTAACGAACATGTAGCTCTGTTTTCTGCTTCTGTCATTTTACTTAGCTGATTACAGGTTATTGAATCTATAATGTGCTAGGCTAATGATTTTGTTCCTCCAGCTACCTTGAGTTAACTACTTGATTGGTAATCCCCCTCACTGTTAGGTTTAACAAAAGCTTGGGTTTGGCACATCATTCAGGATAGAAAAACACTAAAACTGTTTTTAATGTTTTAGAATAAATGCTAGCAGGATGTCCTTAGTTAAATTCAGTTTATTTTATGTTTTTTTTTTAAAGATTTTATTTATTTGACAGAGACACAGCGAGAGAGAGAACACAAGCAGGGGGATTGGGAGAGGGAGAAGTAGGCTTCCTGCAGAGCAGGGAGCCCGATATGGGGCTCGATCCCAGGACCCTGGGATCATGACCTGAGCTGAAGGCAGACGCTTAACGACTGAGCCACCCAGGTGCCCCTTAAATTCCGTTTAATAGTGTAGTTAACAAAGGTTGTTATTTTCTTTCAAATTTATGTAATGTGACTTTTGTTTCTGTGCAGTGGCATTTAACTTTTGTGTTACATCTTTATGCCATGGTTTTATTCTTGGTGATACCCTGGTACTTATGGTATCCAGCTAGAAGTGAGGTCCTGTCTGAACCGAGAGGAGGCTACCTGATAGGAGTCATTTTGATGACCAGCAGTGGTTTCTGGCAGAAATATCCTATATAGATATGTAAATAGAGACAGTTGCTTTTTTTGTTAAGCTTTTGCTGAACTTGAATTTATTCTTGTCACTATTTCGTTTTATCTGGAAATGGATCCAAAATGTTAAGATGCGAAATCTTTGCAATTAGAGTGTCTGCAAAAAAAAAAAAAGAGAGAGCGAAGAAGAGGAAACATTTTAATTTGATCATTGGCATTATGAGGCTCTGACTTGCCAAACGGTGAAAGCTAAAGGCGTGAATGAAAAGCGTTCCCAGAGCAGGGTTTCTCCATGTTCACCGCTTTAGTTATAAAGTAACTAAATTAGTCACTTGGTGGTCACTGCCTGGTCTGTGGACCCCCAACAGCTATGTCTGAGCACAAACCTAAAAGCATCTATTATGATACCCAGGGAAAGCGGCTGAGCCGAGAGGGGCATCCAGACATTCCACATAGCTGTTCAGCTGCTGGACCATCTGGAGGGAAATAAAAGGCCTGGGCTAGGGGCTCCAGGCATTGTGCTCATTTATTATTTGGTTTTTCCCTTGCCAGACTTTGTCTCTTTTTCACTCCCTCTGGCCCAGAACAGACGTCCCCTTTGGCTGGGGTGCCATTCTTACAAGCTCCTTTCTGTACCTTGGCTGCCGGAAAGTTCAGAAGTTCACGCATCCGCTTCATGGTGGCCTGATGTTGGGGACTTCATTATTCCAGCTGTACCTCCAGTTACGTCTTTTCCAGTCCCAGTGGGCACCGATTTCATCAGCCGGGGTTGCCGAGCGGCACGCAGTAGCACAGATCTGTAATGGACATCCCCGTCGGGGTCTATGCATGTTGGCAGCCTTGTTTTGAGTTATTTGGAAGGAAAACGCTCCAGATAGTTCTCATTAGGGGCGCTTATTGGGTGGTAAATGTTTTGATAAATGGCTGTGTGCATTTGCCTCTTATTTAGCCATCCCTAGTTAGAACTCCAAAATATTGCCCACCCTGGCCCTTCTATTCCAAAGGAATTGGGAAGGCTTCTGTCCATGTGATTGGGAAGGTAGATGGCGAAGAGAGGCCCTGGCTTGTGGTAGGCTTCATAAAGCTGGAATTGTGCTTTGTGATTTGAAGGAGGGCTTGTCACTCAAAACCCAACTTTTCTTCATCTCTGAGGAAGATTTCTGTCACTGGTAGGTGTCCGTTAGGCTTTAACTCTGGGAAGCATTGATGGCACAGATTAGACATACTTAAATATTTTGAGGGAGTAATTTAACAGTGATCAATGTCTGGACTATGCCCACTGTTGAAGATACAGGACTCTTCCCGATCATTTTTATTTAAAAAAAATTATTTCTTCCTTGCCCTAAATCCCAACGCTGCTTTGGAAAAAAGAGAATGCTTATTCTATGTATCTCTAGTGCCTTATAGGCTCTAATTAGTCAGTAAATGGATTAGAGAGGTAGGGAGGAAGAAGCCCCCCCCTTACCCCCCCCCATCCAATTGGGAGGAGTTTGTGGCCATCAGGTTTTCGTGGTGGTTTCTGGTACTGTTTAGCTGATTAACACATGAAGGTGGAGATAAGGGATTTGTCTTGATGTTTCAGTGGTCCCATTCATGTGTTCTGTGTGCATGCATAGGACTGAGAGATAGTATCATTCAGAGTCAGACCAGAGTTCAGATCTCAGCTCCACCCCCATCTTAGCACTGTATCCTTGGACAAGTTGCTTAGTTTTACCAAGCCCCAGTTTCTTCATCTTAAATGGGAATATGATGGTCTACTTTAAAGAATTAGAGGGATTAAATGAGCTCATTTATGTAAAGTACTCAGCATAGGCCAGACTTCTAGTAGATGCTCAGAAGTTTAAAAAAAAAAAAAAATTCTTCTTAACTCCCAATTATATTTCAGCCTTTCTGCTTTTGTTTGATGTTAAATTTATCAGTAATCTGCCTTTAAAGATGGAGGTAGCACTGAACCTTACCCGCTGCTGTTAACCATTTAGTAATATAATATTGTTTATATACATAACCCCTGCCCTGTGCATTCTTGCTGTCTCTAAGGCATTCCACAGCTCCCGCTCTGCTTCTTTGAAGGCAGATTTCTGGCTGGTTGACGTGTGAGTTACCTTTCTTCAGTTTACCCCTCCTTGGTCAGTCACTCCTATTTTCCTGGTTGTTTTTTCAGTACCCCTCTTGTATCAACTTTCTCTGGGACTCTCCTGTCACTTGCTTGCCATCTTTAATCCCTAGGACAGCCCTTCCAGATGGGTATTATTATCCCCATTTTATAAACAAAGGGACTTGGGAAAGTGTTTTAGTACAGAATCCCCTCCTAAGTCACATCCTATAACCGCCCCCCCAAACAAAACAAAACAAAACAAAAACAAAAACCCAAATGCAGCTGAAGTTTATGAATCCATTGGCTTAGTTACTAACTCCTTAATCAAACTCCAGACAGTTCTGGATGCTACAGTTTGGGAGTGGGTTCTGGCTTTTAATTCTGTTAGTTACAGCTAAGACTGAAAATGCCTTTGAAAAAAGGGTTGGATGGGGGAAGGAGAGGTGTGCTTGTGGAAGAAATAGGCATTTCAAAGACTTCATGTGCTCATTATATCACTCTCATCCAGGGGAAGTTTCCACTCAAGGGATCTCCCTACACTAAGTCAGTCCACGGTGTTTACTCAGTCTCTGGTGTGAGGAACAGACTGTATGTACTATGCATTTGGGGGAGGATAGAAAAGAAATGAGTTGTGGACCTTGTCCTTAAGGAAATTTCTGCCAAGTGGGGGGAAAAATTCTTGCACATGAAATTACTCATGAACATTTGGGGGATAATATCAACCAGTAAAAATGCATTCTGTGCCAAACGAGGACTGACAACTTGTCACCATATGCAACATCATTTGGATGTTTCTGTATGCTCATTTGTTCCTCAGAGTTGGGGCTGTTTTTCCCTTCAGTCAAAAGAATGTTTCCCGAAGCACAGTGTCTTGGGAAAGAGGGAGATGAAATAAAGAGATTTAAAAAAGGAACGACCGCTGTGAAATGAAAGAGATTTGATTTAGCAAAAATCCAGTGACCTCCCAAAGAGCAGGGCATGATAGCTTATCAAATTCACAGCTGTGGATGAGATCAGGACTTCGCAGTACATTATGAGTTTTATGCCCCTCTTTCATTGGTCTAAATGCACCAATCCCCATGCCTTAAAAATAATTAAAAAAAGAGGAAATGTTAGAATTCTTTCACTGTTGAGTTTTTTTTTTTTAAATATGCAAAATCAAGTGAAAGCAGAATAGCCTGCCTTTTATGAAGTTGGTCAGATTATAGCCCCGGGTACTGCAGAGCTATGGCGGCCCCAGAAAATCCCAGAGCCCCTGGGCATTCTCAGCTCTTAGCCGACAGCAAACTGGCCGGCTCTAAGTGAATCTCATGAGCCAGCCATTGGCCTTGTCAAAATCCCTAACTTTTGTGGCTTTACTTAACACCTTGGTGTTTCTTTTCTGATGCTCTGGTGTTTATATAGCACTCTCAACTTATTTTGAAAACATTTGCATGGTGATTAGTTAACCCAACAGACCAACCCTGGGAAGGCAGCCAGAGCGGGCAACACCTTAGTAATAGAAAAGCTGATAATTAGGAGAAGGCCCCCCTGCCCCCCACACACCCAGACCAGGAGCCTGGACCTAAATGGTGCCACTTTGCTTTAATGAGTGACCCCAGTAAAAACTGATCAGTGGTCGAGCTGTTTGAATCCACCTTGAGTCCACCTAGTTCTGCTGAAACTCTTGGGATGGTCATGGCTCTGTTTGAGCTTGTGGTGTTTGGACAGTTGTCTGTAGGAAGAAAGCACCGCCTAGAGCAGCACTGATGGGTCACGGGAACCTCTCTCATTTTCAGTTCTGGCCACTTTCAACACCTGAACTTGGATGTTGCCCGTGTTTCCCATCTGCTCTATGAACATCACCTCTAAGAGAGTTCTCTTACTCAAGGCTTTTGTTAGTTAAAGGTGCTGCTTTTAAAACTAGACCGGTGATTGCCAGAGGCTGGGGGAGGGGGCAGTGCGAAATGGCTCCATGGTGGGTGTAGTTTCAGTCACACAAGATGAACAAATTCCAGAGATCTGCTGTACGACAATCCACATACAGTGAAGACGACTGTCCTGCACACTTAGAATTTTAATAAATTTTTGTTAGATTTCATGTTATGTCTTTTTTATTGTAGTAAAAAACGTATTGGCAAGATAAATATATTTTTGAAAGTGCTGCTTTTTATAGTCAAGGGGCTGGTTCTGAGAGCCTTGATTCACATGGGCTGAGGTCACCGTCTCGAGGGTGTATGTTGTGTTTGGCTTCCATTGCATCATGGTGAAGGTAGCTTTCGACGAGCACGTTTCAGGCTTTCATTGGAAGCCCCACCACATTAAAGATGAATTATTGTGCAAGCAACCCCCCTCCGATTTCACTCATAATATATGAGGTACCCAGAATTTCATGATGTATATTTGTAGCAGAAGTGATTCTGAGTTAATCGGGAGCCCACGTTTTTACTGATCCCATGGAAGGTGAAGAAACGGAAGGCCTGGGGTTGGAAGGGTGGAAGACAGATTAAGCAGGTGTACAGACGTGAGGTGGTCTGGATGAGGGAGGCTCCCTGAGACTCTGTACGATTCATGTGGTCTGCGGCTCCTCTGAACCTCACGGTCTGAAAGCTTGGAGTAGTGTTTTCCCCTTTCCCCTTTCTCTAGGTAACGAGGCATTACCTAGAACTCCTGGCGACTACAGCGGCGCTTCAGGGAATACTCTTCCCGCCACACCTCATGTAATTGCACCAATGAAGTTAATTGCACTGCTTTTTGAGGAACTTGTGCAAAAGGCATTGTGTCTCCTGTAAACAGGGAGGTGGTTTTGTATCAGACCCATTCATCCAGTGCCTCTTGCTGCAAGCCCCGGGCTGACTGCGATGGGGGGCATCTAGGCATCTAAATAGCCCAGGGGTGGAGTGCAACATCTGGGCAGGTGGTCCCGAGCCCGCCGACCTGTGTGGAAGCTCAGGCCCCGCAGCCTGCAGGTGCTACCAGTTAGTTTGAAAGGACTGTGTCCGAAGTGGCCTTTCACCTTCTGTAAGTCCAGGGCCAGATGAGCTGATAGAGAATTGCTTTCAGTCTTGAGTTTGAGACTGGCTGCCTGCCCGAGGACCAGGCAGGAGAGGAGACTCCCTCATTCTGGTAACAATACCCCCGCGTGACCCGACCTGTGGCTGTGGCCCTGGTGGGAGTGGCCATGGGAGCTGGCTGGCCCGGGCTGGCTCCTGGAGAACCCCACAGTCTTGCTGGGGGAGGGGAAGGGGGCGGGGTGCAGCATCTCTCCTGCGAACCCCGCAATCTTTCTGGGGGGAGGGATAGGAGGGAGCAGGGTGCAGCATCGCCTCTCCTGCCAGCCTCCACCGAGGTCCCGATGGGCCAGCACCAGGGGCCAGGGCACACAGAGCATTCCTGAGAGGTGGGCGAGGGCAGGGGTAGGACTCCTGGGGCTGCCACAACCCCCCCCCTTGTCTCTGTCCCACCCAGGTGAGCGCCGTGGGCTATGGGATGGATGAGGTGGAGCAGGACCAGCATGAGGCCCGACTCAAGGAGCTGTTTGACAGTTTTGACACCACGGGCACTGGGTCCCTGGGACAGGAGGAACTCACCGACCTTTGCCACATGCTGAGCTTGGAGGAGGTGGCCCCGGTGCTCCAGGAGACGCTGCTTCAGGATAACCTCTTGGGCAGGGTAAGGTCTGGGGAAGAAGCAGGGTGGCGGGAAGTGGGTGCGGCTTTGGTCAGAGGCTGGGGGGGGGGGCGGGTAGGGGCAGAGCATGCGTGTTGCAACTTGCTTCTCACATCCTGGCTGTGTGTGCCCCTAGCTATTAACCTGATGAACAGAAAGAGAAAATGTAATGGGTGGGACCCAACAGTGTGGTTTGCTTGGGTTGTAGAGGACCTGCTTGGGTTTGTGCTCTGGAATATAGATGTACCCGGAGCATCTTAGATGAAGGGAGAAAAAGAGGCAATAAGAGCATGTTTTCCAGCTCTTGTTCATGGTGGATCATTTTATGGACTCTGCATTCATCATTGGGGCAGAGGGAGGGGACCGAGATTTCCCTGGAAGAGAAGGAAAACACAGTAAGAAAATTGCCACTCACAGGACGAACAGATTGCTGTTATGACTTTTACTTCCAATAAAGCTATTTCTTGTGCAGATTGCTTCTCGGGTGAAGTTTTAATTAAACCTTTCACCTAGGAAATAAGACAGGAGGGTAAGTAAATACACTGCAGGTTCATTTAAAACCCAGCACGACTTCCTTCCAGCAGCGATATGCATGTGTGCTGATGGTAACTTCTGCATTTGACAACAAATAGTCATGTTGTCCCCACAAATCAAGTCACAGAAATGAGTACAGGGTGAGAAAGGGCCTTTTTAACTCCTGCTATTAGTGGGAAGGATGTTCGATCTGTCTCGACCACCTATTGCCTTCAGTCCTCATAATTCTAATTAAGAGCATAATTTGTATGGCTTTGAGTTGAGTCTTACTGTTGATTGTTAGAATGGATGAGAGGAAAAAATGGGCAGTGCTTTATGGGCTCTGTTGTCACTGATGACACTTTGTAGACATTTGTTCTTATCATGTAGCGCAAACTGAGGAAGGAGTTGTGAAATCCAACTTTATTCCAGTGACTGAATTTCCTTTTCTTCATTTCATTTTCACTGTCTCTTAGTTGATAAGTTGGGTAAGTGACCTCAGAGACAGTACGATGGATTGGCTGGCTGTGACACAAGACAGACGGGAGCAGCGATCATTCTGAAATTAATGTACAAAGGATGCTATTCTCAGGGGCTTGGCGCTATGAATGTCATGTCTAACAGGGCTCACACTTAAAAAAACAAATGTGAGGTGTTTTACAAAACTGGAACCATTCTTGGTCACTCTGAGAAGGGGGGATTAAGCTGCTTGTGAGGACATGGGGTCTCTAAAAAATGCTGAAAATCTTGCTTCGGAAGCCATAGAGATGGGAGGTTTGAGGATGAAATCATTTGCTCATCATGTAATGCACTCAAATGTGTGTTCATTCTGTCTCGGTCTCGGACACCTTGAGCAGTCAAGGGAGTCTTGAGTTTCCCACTGTGGTCCTGGGGGATCTCAGCCTTTTGGGATATAAGGGTAGTACCAAGAGTGGATCTGTTTCAGGGCTGATGAAAGCCTGAGAAGACCTGACACAAACTAAGGCTTCCCGTGAGACGTCTCCGAGTCAGCGTAAATACACAACCCTCTGCTGCTGACAGATTGCGCCTTGGCAGCGCATTCACCGTTCGCTCTCCAGATGTTGCCCATCTTTGCCCCCCGTTCGGCAAACTAAAGCAGGGGAACAGTTATCGATTGATTTGTTAACGACTTGACACCATCAGCCTGCTTTTTACGTTTGCTATTTGCCTATGAATAATGAATACCTAAGTGGTCTATAGCCTGATATTTACTTAGTGAGCCAGTGATAAAAGTTAAATAGATGTATGCATATTGATTTCATGTGGGACGTCCCTGGTGACTGTCTTGAGAGCAGGGTTGGCATGAATTAATGCACTACTGTTCGATTTGCATTTTTTATGAAACTGAGTTATTCTCCTCAGATGATCACATAAACTTGGCCATATGTTGTTAAGATACTCTACATGGTCTATAATTTTAAATTACAAGGAAAAAAATTCCTTAGAATTCACTGAAGAATTCTAAGTGCTAACACCTTCTTGATCGTGAGTTGTAAAATTATACGTTGTTTTCAATGCCAGTCATCTTTCTTCTCTTTAGAGGGTATTTATAGAAAAACTTATAAGGGTTGGCAGTTTGGTTTCATAAACAAGGAGAAAGAATAGTAGCATGACAGATCTCAATATATTCAACTATTCAGTAATTCAATAAATACGTATTGTAGGGATCCTGCGTGTCAGACTTTCTGCTAGTCTGTGGTATGGGTGCCACTTACATATGTTTATCATAGACTAAGGTTTTCCATTAAATTTGCTTTTGGGTACGGTAGTATCCAACAGCTTCCTGGATATTTAGGTTTAAATTTATCTTTAAATTTTAATGAGTATAGTTTCTAAATGAAACAAAACTTCCAAGTTTACCTTTATTGGAATTGGGCTGAATTAATCATTTTTTCTTGAAAAAGAAATAAGAAAAAAGCATTGCCCTCCTCAATAAGAATATGAATATTTTCTGTTTATTTTTTATTTCAAATCCATGTGTAATAACTTCCTGGTTTTTTTTTTTTTTAAAGCCTAATATTTCTTTTGACAGTTGTTAAAGAAAGTAACTGAAATTGACTTGCCATTTTCATGCATTTTACTCCTAGGCCATTTACCCCCAAATTATGTTTCAATTCATCTATCTGATCTTGCTTTATAACTTGAAGTTGTATTCCCCTGAGCGTGGTGCTATTTAAGTATTTGAAATGCCTGAGGATTGTGGATCACTGATTTGAAAGAAGCAAGACATTGCTGGTGGGTGTTTCTTGCTACATTATCAAAAGAGCTCCATGTATCAGTTAAGCATGTATCCATGTATCCATGTATCAGTTAAGCACCTGTCAGGTGGGTGGGAGCCCAAGGCTAGGGCCAGGGACTCCTGAAGACACAGAAGTACTTTTATTCTGGTCAGGTAATGTGCCTAGCAGCTGAACAGCCTTTTTTTTTTTTTTTTTTTTTTTTTTAAGATTTTACTTATTTATTTGAGAGAGAGAGCATAAGTGGGAGAGCATGAGCTGGGGAGGGGGTAGCAGAGGGAGAGGGAGAAGCAGATTCCCTGCTGAGCATGGAGCCCGACGCGGGGCTCAATCCCAGGACCCCGAGATCACAACCCCAGCTGAAGGCACACAACCGACTGAGGCACCCAGGTGCCCCCACAGTCCTGAGAGCAAATACTACAAACATATAAGAAAGTAGAACAGCATTAGCTCTTTTTTTGAACCAAGTTTTCATCCAAACAATTGATGCTGGTCATAGGTGCTTCCTGTTTTTTGTCTTTTATTTTTCATCTTTATTATTATTTTTTTAAATTCAAGTTAGTTAACATATAATGTATTATTAGCTTCAGGGTAGAGTTTAGGATTCGTCAGTTGCATATAACACCCAGTGCTCATTACATCAAGTGCCCTCCTTAATGCCCATCACCCAGTTACCCCATCCCCCCACCCACTTCCCCTCCTGCAACCCTCAGTTTGTTCCCTATAGTTAAGAGTCTCTTATGGTTTGCCTCTCTGTTATTTTATTTTTCCTTCCCTTCCCCTACGTTCATCTGCTTTGTTTCTTAAATGTGTCTTTTATTTTTCTATTTTTTATTTTTTAAAGAATTTATTTACTCATTTGAGAGAGACAGAGCATGAGCAGGGGAGAGAGGCAGAGGCAGAGGGAGAAGCAGACTCCCTGCTGAGCTGGGTGCCTGACGTGGGGCTCAATCCCAGGACCCTGGGATCACCACCTGAGCTGAAGTCAGACGCTTAACCATCTGAGCCACCCAGGTGCCCCTTAAATGTGCCTTTTAAATTATATGTTGTCATATGCTTCTGTCTTTTATTAGAAATCAGAACATAAATATGATGGTCTACCTTGGCTTTATTGAAGCTGTCATATCAGTTTTAAAAATGTGTTTTTCTTTACTTAAGGAATATAGCAACTTTGAGACCTAACAGCCCCCTGAGATTCTAAGGAGTTTCCTTGCTGTACTCTCTGGTAGGAATCTGGATGCTGAGGTACTCCATGTCCTTGGTACTCTTCAGAATCAGAACAAGCCCCCTGGTAGCAGAACCCACAGTTGGCTTCCGAAGAATCCCATAGGTGTGTGGACTTTGGTCATCAAAGGCACTTTGAAATTTTTAGTGTTAATATCTGATAGCTTTACAAATATAATTTAGCTCACTTTTTCCACCTTTCATTTCAAAGTGCTTGGGGGTTCTCTTATAAATATCATGATTAATTTCATATGATGGATTTGCTTATTTGTTTCCAGTTCATTAAAAGCTTTTAGGATTTCTTTCTCTTATATATATTTTAACCATTTGAAAGGTAAATCAGAAATACAGAAGTACCTTCTGGTCATGATTATCTGGACTTGTTCTCCGTGTGCAAAATTATGCATGATCATCAAGTAGTGTCTATTTATAACTACCCTGTGTTCATGCTCCTGTTTCATATTATTGATCTGAGGCTTTTTAAATGCATTGGAGGAAATGGTGGCAACATTTCTCATTGCATCTCTTATTAAATGTCTGGAAGCTGCCGTATCTCACTGTTTAACCACTATAGTTTAACCTGATATGGTGAGGTGTATTGTCTGATTCCCATTTGGTCCTGTGACTCTGTAAACCATCACACCCTTCCATTACAACAGTCTCCATTGGGGTTAACTTGAACTCCTAAGGGTCTTTGGTTCCCAATTATAGACAAGAAGACATTCTGATTAAGAGTCTGCAAGACTTGCTTCTACTCTGTATTAATGCTTCGTTGTCAAACTCATTGCAAAATTAACTTCGGTTTTGCATGCTGCGACCTCGAGCCTCTCGGAGCTATTGAGTCTTATGGGAAGCCAGGGCGAGGGGAGGGCTGTTGGGAAGATCAGGCAGCTCTCAATGAGAGGTGGGAACAGGTGCAGAAAGGCTGTTCTCTCCTACCTGCTTTATTTCAGTAATGACTGCCTCTTTCTCCGGAGAAAGTATGGTCCAGAATGCCGATTTGATTTCTGCAGTATTCTGCTGATACTCTTAAGAGTAGCTTCTTGGGACAGAGGGGACTTAAAGTTCTTTAGTGTCCATCACAGATTTTAGACTTCAGTGTTCATCTGTATGACAAAGAAACCTTGGAACCCAGAACTTGGGAAAGCACATTGGCCTGTCCAAGGTCAGGCAACTCATTTCAAGCAGCAGCCGGATAGGAACCCAGATTCTCCATCCCTGAATTTGAATGCATGTCTTCACAGCCTCCTCAGACTCCAGATGTAGGCAAGAAAGAATCTCATTCTCCACCCCCACCCCCATCACCACTACCACCACTTAAAGACAGTATAGGATTAGAGCAGAGTCATTGAAGTCAGCCCCGGATTCGAGTACTGGTTCTTGCGATTTTTAGCCCTATGGGCATGTTACCTTGTAATAGTCTGAGCCTCAAGTTCCTCATCTGTATAATGGGAAAAATAATACCCTCCTTACAAGATTGTGATGAGAGTTGAATTAGATTGTGTGTGTCAAAGACTTACTGTAGAGCCAGGCACGCAGTTAACTACCATGTTCTAGGTCTGCCTGTCCTCCCTCCGTCCCTTACATACCCAGAATGGGTCTTTGATAAATAGTGCCTTCCCAGTAATGATTTCCTGAGGAAGCTCCTAGGCGTGGAGAATGGATTTGCTAGAAATTCTCTTGTGTGACCGTGGTTTGCATCTGTTTCCATTTGTAGGCAGGGCCCCTTGGATCCTCTTGGAGTACGACTTCATACACTTGCTCTAGGCTTGGACTCCCCTTTTCAAATGAGCTTTGCCTCTCTTCACGTTGTCTGCAGTAGATGACTGCGGTAACCTGAATGTGTTACTTAGAATCAGACATTTCACAACGATGTCTTTCATTATGAAACTGTGTCTCTTTATCTGTATTCTTTCTCTTTTGCATAATGCTGTACACATCATTTTCCTGCACAGTGACCTTCTGAAGAGTCTCGATTTTCTCTCCCCATTGCAGCTAGCACTTCATGTTTGGAGTGTTCTTTCATCGATTTCCCTTTGTATTAGGAGATACGAACCTCCTTGGTGTGATGATAGTTACATGGGCCTTTGTCTCGTTTAATAAGATCACTTAGCTGAACACTTGGCTTGAGCCTCTCATCCTGGGGCTGTTTGAAGTGCTGCCTGCACACATGTGGAAACTGTATGTATTTGATCTCCATGATTGCACGAGACAATTTTATGCAACGTTAAGTTCCTTATTCTACTTCCTGTTACAGGGGGGTTTTTTGTGTGTGGTTTGAAGTAACGTTTGTTTCTTATGCGGTGCTTACTTTCTTTTTTTCGGAAAGGCAAATTGTGTTTCTAAAAAAGCATCCGAATGAAATTTGGAGAGGAAAAATGATGAGGTAAATTTCTATTAGATGGGGGTGACACATGACAAAAAAAATCAGACTTGACTGGTCTTCCCGTTAATTTAGCTCAAATGCCATGTGTGTTTTTAGTCAGGTAATTTTCCCGTTGCTGCAAACTGCCCTTTGCGGCATACAAGATAGAGGAATGCTTGTAAATGAATGGCAGCAATTATTATTCAAATGAGGGGGTACCAACCGGGAGAAGCACAGCTTGGAGGCTTGCTACCGCGTGAGATTTAATTGCTTTGTATATTTGTGAAGATTTCTAAATTTTAACATAATGCAATAGTAAAGCTCCTTTGGAGGAGAAAAATGGTACATCGAAATTCCAGTTACTGAACTTAGTGAGCCCACTGATGCACATTTCTTCACAATAGAGGGCATTTATTAACGTTTTGGTTCTGGGATGTGCCCTAAGGGGCTTTTCCACCACATCAGTATTCATGAGCATTGTTAGAAAGTAGCAGTTACCTGCCTCTATTAGAGAACCATCTTCTTGGAAGATGCGGAATTTACTGTTATTTAAAGTGGAGGGTCCAGTGTCTATATGCCCTTGCAGGAGGAAAAACAAAGATCAGTTTAAGACTTAGGACTGCTCCAGTTGTTTTGATCAGCTTGCCATGTTTTCATTTTTTGGATTTTTAGGTGTGTGTGTGTGTGTGTGAGTGTAAAAGACGTCCATCAGATAGACGTTGTTGGATTATGAAGAAGTTAATCATGTCTAGTCTTTTATAGACCCTTTTTCTTTTAAAAAAAAATGCAGCTGATTTAGTAGGTCCATTTTGGAAATGGTGCAGCCCTGTCTGTGAATATCTTAGCGAAGCCATATGTCCCGAAACTGTCCCACCCCCTTGTTTTTGTGTGTCTCAGAGCACTCACCAGATTCTACCTTACAGGTGCTAAGCAGCTTTCCTCTCTTCTTCCCCTTCTGCCCTCCCACAGTCAAGATTCTCTTCCTCATCTTGGAAATTGAATGGGATTAACATCCAGAGTATAGGTACCTTGGTCATTTTTCAGGGTGAGTGAGATTGAGGTACATAGACTCCTGGGCTACCTTCATGGCTAATACTTGCTGAATTGAACTATGTCAGGACTGGATTCAGAAGGGCTCTTTCTGATAACCTCTGTCAAAGCTTAGGCCTTTAGAAGACCCAGCAGAGACCCACCAGTGAAGTGTAGAGAATTTGAAGTTCTCAAGGCGAGTACCTCCCTTTTGAAATGCGAGCCTCCTTCTGTTCAACTCACAACTGGCAAGGAGAGACAAAGGTTTCATTCAGGTCACTCCATCAATATCCTACGGGAGGAGAACCCCCCCCCCCCCCCCCCCGAGCCGAGCTCCCTAAACACAGCATGCTGGACCCGTTTCTCTGATGTTGGGCAACTGTCCAGATCCCGGTGGGGAGGCAAGATCCTGGCTGTCACTCCCACCACCTGGCTGTCCTGGTTACTCTTGCTTTGCTTGAAAAATGTGTCCATTTCTCTGTAAAAGTTGAGGAAACAGTCATGCCATATACCTATTGGTAGTCACTAGCCTCTACCTATCGGTAATTAAGTATACCAAGTGGTATTAACTTCCACTTGCTGAGTACCTGATAAGTCCCTGGAAGTTCTAGACACCTTATGTAACTCTCGTTGTGATTTCCTGCTGCCGTTGTGTGGGAGGTGTTGTTATAAATAACATGAAATACATGCGGTGCGTTCACACAGTAGGTGCCTGGGCTCCCCGTGCTGTTTCTGGAATATGCACTCCGTGGCAGCCCGATCTCTATCACTCTTGTTCACTAGGGTAGTGCCTGGCCCATGGCAGCTGTCCGATAAATATTTGTTGAACGGATCATAAGAATTGTTAGAGGTCCCCATTTTTACACACGAGCAAACTGAAGCTCAGAGAGGAGAAGTTTAGTAGTTGAGCTACAGCAGGAAGTCAGTGGCTGAGGCAGGGCCGGAACCTGGACCCGGCTGGCTCCAGCGCAGAGTCTGTGCTCCTCACCCTCCTACTGCTCGCCCTCAGGGGAAGGAATGAGTCTAGTAGGCAGTGGTAAATGCCTGGCAAGTGTCCCGGGATGGGAGAGCCCTTGGATATGTGCTGTTTGTGGACTGGCTGCTTGGGAAGATGGCCTTGCCCCTGGAATCAGGAGCCAGGATGCCACAGTGCCTGAAGCCCACACTCAGACTTTGGGCCGGCAGCAGGGCCTGGCCCTCTTCCCTCCTGCAGGCTCCTCGGTCATTTGTCCCTTGCAGTCTCTCAACCTTTCATTGATTGTCGGGCCCTGGCTCTCTAGCAGATGCTCTGCCTCCCTTGACAGACTGATTTTTTTTTTAAGTGGGAGAGGAGGAGGGGAGGGACAGAGGGAGAAGGAGAAAGAGAATCCCAAGCAGACTACCTGCTGAGCGCAGAGCCCGACATGGGGCTCAATCTCAGGACCCTGAGATCATGACCTGAGCTGAAACCAAGAGTCAGACGCCCAACCCACTGAGCCACACCCAGGCGCCCCTGCCTTGACAGGTTTCTGCTCTGGATCCATAGAGTATACTGCTTTTTTTTGTCTATACTCTCTAAAGGAACATGCTTTTAGAAAGTAATTTTAAGTGATCAAAATGGATGTGGTAGAAAAAGCACATATACTTTGGGAGACTATGGTAAATTGCAAGCATATACAATTTTATGTCATAGGAACCTCAGTGTACTCCTCTCCTTTGCATCAGTTTGCATGGATGAGACAAATGCTTTCTTTTCTCCATTGCTTAGATAACGAATGAGGTTTGCTGCTTTTCCTAATATAATTTGGCAGTGGTTTTTATGTGTCACCTATATTCAAACTGCTAGGCAGTGTTTCGTAATGATGCCCAACGAGACCTGTAGTGGTGCAAATACCAAATTGACTGACATTGTATTTACATATGGGCTTCTGCATAAATAGGTGCCCTGTTATCAAACTAGAGTTTTGGCAAGAATACCATCTTTCCCTTCTGCCCCATGGTGAAGTCACACAAATTTAAGTTATAGGAGAATAAACTTGGCCATAAAGAAAACCATTTTACCCCTTCAACCAAAGCAATATCCCCATTCTGAGTTGTTACTTGAATAAAACTCATGTTCTTTCATCCTTCTATCAAGGTCATTGTGTGTTTAAGAATTCAAGAGAATGCTTCCCAAGGTTCTTTTATTCTTTGTGTTTATGATTGATTTCTTTTTTGTTTATAGAATCACAGGGGCCTTGGGAGATAAATATTAGGTACCTGCCTCAGGCAAGACTATATTCGAGTCATCCTCAAATGGTCGCACATTCTCTTCTAGAATGTCTTAAGAGATGAAAGCATCTTTGGGACATTGTTACAATGGATCATTTACTTGGGAAGTTTTTCCTAATATCTCACCTAACCTCTTTCTCTTGTGGTCTTGTTCAGAAGAATAAAAGGAGTTGAGTTCAAAACATCTCTTTTTTTCTGAATTTATAAAGAGTGTTTTGCTCTATAGCTTTCCCCCTCAGGGTTGAATAAATATTGATATTAATGTTAGTGTTTATGACACTGGGGTGTCAAAAATGATCAGTGCACTTTCCCTTCAGTGCTTTAGAGAAATGAAGAAAAGGGAACAAAAGCAGGTTATGACTCACTTCAAGGCTGCCAGGATGCTACCAAGTGGTTGTGGCACCTTGAAAATGGATTTACTTCATTACGGCTATGGAAACTATTTTGAATTTATTTTTCGTGGTTTATTTTTAGGTGCATTTTGACCAATTTAAAGAAGCATTAATACTTATCTTGTCTAGAACTCTGTCAAATGAAGAGCACTTTCAAGAACCAGGTAAGGGCACTCACTAACTTTTCTTCTCTACATTCCTCTTTAAAAATTGTCCAGGGAAGAATTCAGGGACCTTGAAGCATGTCTGTGAAAGCTTTGGGTGTCTGTCTGCCTTTTACAGATTGAACAGTTATTTTCAGTGACTTGTCTTTTGATATTATCCTAAAAGCCTTGCAGCTGTTGAACACTAAAATGAGTCTTCCCTGCCACAACAGTGTATTATGGAAGAAATAATTGGATTGTTCCTAGGCAATATGTCCGATCATGCACCAGTAACTCATTCCTGGAATGAGCAGAGTGAAGGTGGATGGTACTTCCTTCGTCCTACTTCCTGTGTATGGGGAAGGATCTGAGTCGGGGGTGGAGGGTGGGTATTTTGCCTGAAAGAAGAGTGGTCAGTCTAGAGATAATCTTACTTAGTCCTGGTAGGTGGATAAGACATTATCGCATTTTATTATAATTGATAATATATATCTCAAGGGATAGTTCTTGAGGACCATGTTGTTCATTTTTGTATTTTCAGTGTTGAGGGGAATGCTTCACACATCGTAAATATTCAACGAATGTTAAAAAACAAAGAATATTACACTTCACTGATTTTTTTTTAAAAGCACTGTAGATTATAAGACATCATTGTTTTATGTATCTCTGAAAAGAAAATTTTTTTTTGCCAGTTATAATAGTAAAATGCCATTGATCGTAAGACTTATCCTAATGTCAGAGTGTTCAAATCTTGGTGGGGGGGGGGGGTGTCTGCGTGTGTGTTTATGTGTTTGTGTGTGTGTCTGTCATCGGATCAATGAAATACGATAAATACTTAAAGGAGAGTCTAAACAGGGCTGAAATTTGTATTATAATACAGTCCCGTTTTATCAAATCATTGGTTCTCAGATTTGGGTTAGGGGTTGGCTATAAAGGAGCATGAGGGGATTTTTGGGGTGATGAAACTGTTTCATATCTTGATTGTGGTGGTAGTTACAAATATTGTTTTTCCAACCCATAGAATTGTGCACTAAAAGTGAAATTCTGTGTGAATTACACCTCAATAAACCTGATTTTTTAAAAAGATAACAAAAAATAGTCCAGTTTTTGAGATTGAGGAGAAATCATTAACATTTTGTCACTACAAAGACTCATTCAATGTGACCTATTTAGATAAAGCACAGATGGGAACTCATTTCTTCACTGGTGATCTAGTTCTTCATTGTACCTTCTGGAATGCTTAAGATTTGTGTCATGTGTATGAACATTGCGTTTAGCAGTATTTTGGATTCCAGATTGAGTCGCCCCTTTCTGCCTGTTGTCACCACCCCTAAGAAGGTTATCTTCAACTCTGAGGCTTGCCAGCGCTCTCTAGAAGCCCACAGTGAGCCTGTGGGGGAGGTTATTGCCTTCTGGAGACTTTCCAGACTCCTAATAGAATTACTACAGACGACCACTGCTGGAACATGGGCTTCTGTTCTTACGAGGTCTCACATTTTGTTGGTATTTTTATTTATTTAAGGTTGTCTTTCATCTTGATAACAATAGCCCGAGATCTAGGGACCCTGAGTAGAGCTATGGTGCCATCTCCACATTTTAGTTAATAAGAGCCTCCGTAACCTAAGAATTCAGTTTGTTGCTCTTCTATGTGTTGATCATGTGCTTTTATGTGGGTTTGGAATGGGCAGTCCTGCCACCACTCCACGTGATCTCTTTGCTGCCCTTTCTTCAAAACCTGTATGATCACTTGCCAGAAAAGGGTCATGCTAAATGCACCGATTTATGGTGACCACAGATGTGAAGGGTACCTCCTAGAGTTGCTCAGTGTTGGGATCTAAATAATAGGATGAGGAGGTAGACAAAGGCTGGCTGAGCTTTGTCATAGCCGATTTATGAATTTATGATTTACAGATCTAGCTCCGGATGGTGGGTTCAGAGTTCTCTGTGTGCCTCACTGCAGTGCAGGTTGAGACCATAATTTCGACAAGTCTTCCAGGACAACACACAGAAGGGATTTTATCATGGTGCTGTGTGCTCCGTCTTTTGGGTAGGCTGCTGCAGACCTTCGTGAGAGAGCTGCCCCAGATCAGGGGAATGAAGCAGCAGAGTACCTATCGACAGCATTTTACACAGCACTTGTGGGCCCTCCCTAATGTTTGGCCTGCAGGGTAAAAGCTAGGATTGAGCCAGCACCTTAAAGAGTGTTCTATCTCTTAGGAGCCAGTGAGTCAGCCCTGCCTCCCACAGTCCCTGCTTTGTTCCTGAGCATCTCTGCTTTTTCTGTCTCTGGCCCAACTCGCTCTGGCCCCTCCAGTTGTTCCTGGGGATCATGCAGTTCTTTCCACGGCAACATTCTCTCACCCACTCGAAAATGCGATTCATCCCCCACGGGCTGACTGGCTTGGCCTGGTAAGCAAGCAACAGAGAAAGAAGGTTCAGGACTCAAACGCGGTATCCAGAGTCCGCCTGAGGTCACTCCCTTCTTCCCCTTTATGAAGATGACTGTCCCCTAAATCCTAGACCATACCTTCGGAGGGCTGGAGAGAATGCTGGCGTTTTCCCCATGAGCACACCGAGGCCCGAAGAGACACGTGGCTTAATTGAAGTCTCACACGTGGTGGCAGAGGAGGATGCTGCCGCTGTGTCACTGGGGGGCTCCTCCTCTAGAGGAAGCTCTGGCTTAAGAATGTCAACCCCCAGGGGCACCTGGGTGGCTCAGTCGGTTAAGCGGCTGCCTTTGGCTCAGGTCATGATCCCAGGGTCCTGGGATCGAGTCCCGCATCGGGCTCCCTGCTCGACGGGAAGCCTGCTTCTCCCTCTCCCACTCCCCCTGCTTGTGTTCCCTCTCTCGCTGTCTCTCTCTGTCAAATAAATAAATAAAATCTTAAAAAAAAAAAAATTTGATAAAAAAAAAAGGAATGTCAACCCCCAGATGTATGAGCTGGGGGCACACACCCAGTCCTCAGTCAGTGCGGCCTGGCCACAGAGATTCTGACAGTTGGCCAGAGTCAGCAGGAAGGAGTGAAAAGAGCAAGTTTCACCTGATCATTAGTGACAGGAATGCCTATGTCTGCAGCCTTCTTTGGCTTTTCAGTACTTAGTTCATCCTGTACCATAAGGGCCAGACCTGTGGTATTTTTGTCTTGTCTTTTGAAATCAATGGACCAACTAGACTTTGAGAGGGAAGATTGCCCTTAAGCAATGGAAGGTGACGGAAAGAACAGGGCGACAGTGCACAGTCTTTGAAACAGAATGGGTCACAAATGGATATTTTATAACACCTAAGATTTTTATCGGTTAAAAATACCTGACGCTGTACCAGAGTATAATAGAGAAAGCCCAGCTTGATCTGGTGGGAAAGGCCCTCAAGCCAACAGGGATAAAATACTGGCTCTGCCTCTCTAATTGGGTGGCCTCCTACGTCACCTCCTCTGTGGTCTTCGGTCACCTCATATGTGAAAGAGGTTGTACTGGAAAATACTTAAAATCTGTTCAGCTCCAAGAGTCAGTCGTGTCATCTCTGAATATCTAAATGACCTCTAAATTCATGAAAAAGACTAGCTTTGTGTTTCTGTCAGACTCTCCCTAACCTAAATTGACACTGGGAAGTTCTGCTTGCTAAGGACAAATGCCTAGTGGACTTCATGCTTTCATATTCCTCTAATAAAAGACAGTTATATGTAAATAAACAAAAACAGGGCGCCTGGGTGGCTCAGTTGGTTAAGCGACTGCCTTCGGCTCAGGTCATGATCCTGGAGTCCCGGGATCGAGTCCCGCATCGGGCTCCCTGCTCGGCAGGGAGTCTGCTTCTCCCTCTGGCCCTCCCCCGTCTCATGTGCTCTCTCTCATTCTCTCTGTCTCAAATAAATAAATAAAATCTTTAAAAAAATAAAATAAAAAGATAAACAAAAACAAAGCTGTATTAGAATTTGGGACGAGGGGTGCCCGGTGGCTCAGTCGGTTAAGTGTCCCAGTCTTGGTTTCAGCTCAGGTCATGATCTCAGGGTGGTGAGATTGAGCCCCACATCAGGCTCTGGGCTGGGCATGGAGTCTGCTTAAGATTTTTTTCTCTCCCTCTCCCCGCCTCCTCTCTCTTTCTCTCCCTCTAAAAAAAAAAAGAAAGAAAAAAAAAATTTGAGAGGAGATGGAATTAAATCATTATTTCCATAGACTTGGGTTCTGCCGTTTATAATTTCTCTGAGGTAGTTTCTTTATTTTTAAAATTAATGTGATTTTCATACTAGATGATTTTCAACATCCATTCTACTCTGATAATTTATGATTCTAAGACTCTTAGGGAAGAGTTTCTCCCCTAAAAACAGCAACAACAACAAAATGAAAAATGCTGGTATTGAGATAGGGACAGGAAAATGGATTGGGGATGTAGGGAATTGTTTTTAAATTCCTAACTGATTGACATCAGTGACATAATTCCTTCATATCTACATGCACAATTTAATTTTTAAATTATTTTCCTAGAATAAGAGAGGGACAAAAAGTTAATTAGAGAGGGACAAAAAGTTAATTATTGCTTATTTATTCAATTTGCTCTGCTTTAGATTATAGGATTTTTGTAATGGAAATGCCACCATGGGCCTGAGCTATATGGTATCAACATACTGTCTGGATCTGTTCTCCAGAGATTTTGTCCTTGTTTGATGTATTTTGCATTCGATTTCTGTTCAGTAGTAGGTGTTAGCATAATACTGGAAGCCCTTTCTTTCCCTGATATGGTTAGTGTAAAAATCTTCCCTTTGTTTACCCGGTGAGGGAAAACGGAGATCTGCAAAAGCCAAATCATTAGGAAAATAAGACTATGGGTGGTTTTGGTACAGATGACTGTTTTTGGGGTTTTTTTTTTTTTTTTTTAAGATAATATTCCTAATTCCAAGAGCTACCCTAATTTAATTATTTTTCTTATATTTTGAAGAAGCTATAAATATAATAAACAGATATCTTTTCATTCACTCACCAGGTTTGCAGGGAAGCAGGTCTTATGAGCAGGTATCGGGCTAAAGATG